CACCACCTCACCTCTTCTCAAAACACATACATGTCTTTTCCTACATACACACTCACTTCTTCCTTAAGAAGTGAGTGTGTTAATTAAAACTGTTAATTAAAACTGTTCTGCCTGCGTGTGTATGTGCATAACTGTTCTCCCTTTGAAGCTTTCTCATCTACGTCTAATCTATTTTAATAAACTTGGAGCCTTACCGTACCAAGACTCCTTTGGGTCCACCGGTCCAGAGGAACGATAAGTAACTATGAGCTCCCTTAGCTACAGCCATAAATCTAATGAAATTCAGTAATTTAGTGGACAAGACTTATGATGTTGCATTAGTGTTTCAGTGACTCACACAGCAAATATTTGACCAGTGGTTCAGTGAACACATAGGGTGATATTCATAACTATATAAACATAACTGTGACATATAAGTATGTAAACTTATGTGTGCTATAAAATAAAACCATTCTTAAGTGCATAAAATTAAAATCACCCTAACACTAGCTTGGTAAGATAGTCATCTTTAGTTCCAAAGTTTTATATATTCATTTCTGTTCAAGTGACATATTACAGATTTGTATTGTTTATCAAGTGTGGGAAAAGTTTACACTGCTTGAGGTTGTATGACGGAGATATTCACTCAGTAATTGACTAACATGAACCTGCCAACAGAGTTCCCTGCAGACCTCCCTCTTTCATGCTATTAATCCAGGATAAGACCCCATACCTCCCAAATAATAGCAACGTCCAGTTATTGTGGCAGCTACCCCCTTAACCCTCAGATGTTACTGTAATGAGAAACTGTTATAAGCCAGGATACTCTGGCTTTTTGAGGAAGTGTTAAATTTGGTCTGAAATAACCAATGAAAGCTGTGTCACTCGACACTTAAGACCATATTTGCTTTGCACAGTATTTAGTTGACCTAAGATGTTATTAAGGATAGGATATTTAAGAATAGTGTATATTATGTAACAAGTAAATAACTGGATGTTTTAGATAACATCCTTCTAATATACATCTAATATAACTTTCTAAACACTGCCTCTTTTCATACAGCCAGCCGGTTTGTATGGCATCACACCCAAGCAACAAGCTCGATTGGTATACAATATTTGTACAAAAAGGTACTACTATCTAATTGGTCAAAAACTGTTGGGGAGAAGCCATGGTTTAGACTTAACCCTCTCGCTATTGGTCCTTCAGACTGTCCGTCATCCAGTCATCCTCTCTGCTCCAATGGTCGTGGACAGCCCCCTAGAAAGGGGAGGAATACCTATACAGCCTTAATTCCTACATATACACTTCTTCCTTTGTTTCCAACTAACTGCTCCATATTAGGCATTACTTTCTGTTTCACTAATTAAAACTGTTCTGCCTGTGTGTGTGTGTGTGTGTGTGTGTGTAATGGTTCTACCTTTGAAGTTTTTTCCTCGTCCTGGCTTCAGATCCAATCTTTGTTTACTGACCATAGTGTCCAAGTGAACCCTAATTCCCCTGGGCTCATCTGCCAGGTGGTGATAATAAAGTAACTGTGGACCCTCTTCGCCAAAGCTGTAAATCTAATGAGATTCAGTGTTTTAGTGAACCAGTCCCTATGATGTTTTAAACAGTGCTCCAGTTGGCTAACACAGTAAATACTGACCAGTGATTCAGTGAACACATAGGGTGATTATGTAACTGCATGAACATAACTGTAATATTAAAGTATATGTAGTTGCTATAAAATAAAAACCTTAACTAATTCTATTCATATCTACTTAAAAATAAAAATCACCCTAACAATAAACAGACAGTCTAGGCTTATAGGAATTCTTGTGCAGGGCTCTCCTGGAGTCAAGTAAAGGGTTTAAGGCCAAAAGAACGAACGCCTAGTCTAAATATAAGATCACCCAAGAATACAAAATACATATGGTTAATTGTTTCAGCCTGAATTTAAACTTTACCAGTCAAAATCAGGCCTCTGCTTTGTTGCTTCATAGACAAGATGATAAACTGATAATGCAGATGATCACCGGCTGCAGCCGTGCATCAGATCACTGTCGACAGATGAGTTGTAAAGTGTGTTACTGAACGTTGGTTGTGTTGGAGCTGCTTGGTCTGTAGCTGATGTTCTTGTTTGTATGTTTTCAGCCCAAATCCGTGAAGAAGAGCAGCAGCATGGAGGACGAGCCACTGCTGAGGGGCGACCCACATCGCATCACCATTTTCCCCATCCAGTACAACGACATCTGGGATATGTTCAAGACGGCCGAGGCGTCTTTCTGGACCATAGAGGAGGTAAGCGCAACAGCCGCTCCGATCAGGAGTCCTGCAGCCTCGTGGTCTCTGTCCATCTCTGTAAACGGTCTCTTTGTTCAGGTGGACCTGTCCAATGACCTGGAGAACTGGGAGTCTCTAAATGACGAGGAGCGCCACTTCATCTCTCACCTGTTGGCGTCTTTTGTCACCATGAACAGGATCGTCGAAAAGAACCTGGTTAGGGTGACACACCTGAAATCTGGGACCTCAGAGCAGTGATTATTGATCAGTTAATTGGTTCAGCTCTGATTTCTGATGTTTGACTTGTGACCACCAGATGAAGCACTTCACAAAGGAAGTACGGGCATTGGAGGCCAGGCGTTTCTACATTTTCCAGCTCACCAGAGGGAACATCCACTTTCAGATGTACAGCCTCCTCATCAACACCTACATCAGGGAGCCCGAGAACATGTGAGGGCTCAGTCTGTTAATGGTTTTACTGGTGTGTCACTGGTCTGTGCTCCCATGTAATGGTGCATTCAATGACCCTCAGAGAACACCTGTTCAATCCCATCGAGACGTTGCCATACGTGAGGAAGAAGGCTGACTGGGCGAACAACTGGATCGACAACGACAGCGCCAACTATGGTAAATCTGCTCTTTGTGACACCACGCTGTCCCCCAGTGATCGGGTTTGGTATTGATTTTCTGTGTCTGTCGATGTCCCAGGGGAGCGTGTGGTGGCGTTCGCGGCCGTGGAGGGAATCTTCTTCTCTGGGTCCTTCGCTGCGATCTTCTGGCTGAAGAAGAGAGGCCTGATGCCCGGCCTGACCTTCTCCAACGAGCTCATCAGCAGAGACGAGGTGACTAATCGATCAGTAACTTCAGTGTTCATTAGACCTGACACATTTAATGGTTCCAGCTGCTCTGATGTGAGGAGTTTGCTGCTTTTTGGTCTCTGAGACATTTGCTGACGTCCCTCTGTTGTCTAGTGAGTCGTGACAGGCTTTGTTCATTGTTCACTGGTTTGTTGACCAAGTTACTCAAGTAATTGGCTTTGCCTCTAACGGCTGCT